CTTGGCCCGTTCGTTAGTGCGGAACCGAGATTCAGATTACAACCTCGCCAAAATCACACACAGTTGAATAGTTTAAAATACAAGAAATAAAGACACAGAGAAATTTACGAGGTTCGGCAAAAACCTGCCTACGTCCTCGGAGAGATATTGCTCTTCACTATGAGAATAACAGTACAAGTATACATGAGTTAAATTGACATAACCCAATCCCATATCCCTTGTACACCCACTCATAGAATTTTCCCAAGAGCCTCACTCTACCCCAAGAGTTCTTTCACAAGAGATCTTTCACTCTAACTCTCTTGATTTCTCTCACCCATGCCCATGGTAGAGCTAAATGCTCACACCATCTCTTTTGGATGCTTTCCTTCTCTCATCCGTGCACATCTTTTGCCAAATGCTCTCACCATTTTATGCTTTTCTTAATCCAAGCCTTCTCCCACCAAAAAGCCACAAAACATGGCTTTGAAAAAGCCACAAAACATTGCTTTGAAAAAGCCACAAAACATGGCACTAATTTGGCCACTATCCAACAAGCAATAGAACCGAATACAAACTCTTAATCGAAAACATAACAGACCGACACCAAACTGACAGTAAAAGGTTTATATGCGGCTTAATCTGTGTGGTTACCAGGAAACCAAAAGGGATGTTGCAAATGACACTGAGGGAAAGGGAGACGGCAGAGAGCTCGACGTCTCCGAGATGACCGACGAAAACGGTGGTTATGGACTGAACCATGTACTGAAACAGAGAAGTGCAGGCCACCAGAGTGATTCTCGGGTGATGCGGCTTTAGCCATGGCCAACGGGACTACGATCACGTCCGCAACAATCACTAAGAAAAACAAGATTGGGAGGAAACAGCCAATCAAGTCCTTCCTCCTCCAGCTATAAGCAGTACAATCCTCACTGCTTAAAGCACTTTTTCTTTTTTTTTGGGTCCCTGTGTTTAAAGCAAAGTAATCAGTTGGATACCATGGCATTAGCATTGAGCTGCATTAGTACCAAATCTACAGTGTGTGGTCTGAATTTGAAAGAGTACTCAAACTGGTACCTATTTGTTTAGCAGGTCCCACAATCATACGTCTGTTCATTGATTGTCCCTGTGTGCCTTCCGTCTAGATCCTTACAACAACCAAGCATTATACAACTCATTTGGTCGGCTTCATATATGAATCCTAGATCGTAGTGCTTGGTTTTTCTTTAGACCCCGAAATATCTAATTTACTTTTATATAAATAATCCATTTGGCTATCTGTCTTTTATTATTATTATTATAACAACAAAGATACTTTCCCTCTTTTTATTATATTTATTTTATTATTTAGTCTACCCAACATTATTCTCGAAATAATTAGTGTGCACAGTTTACATTTCTATTTTTTACATTACAGGGAAGTACAACATGACTATTTTATAGTGTCAATAAACAATTCATTTTTCTTTAGATCGGAATTTTGTCTATTTTATTTGGTAACCAACTAACCGATCGATTGTTTATCTTGAAACATTTCTAAGTGTTTTTTTTTTTTAATTCAAAGACTTAACTAGCAGAAGGTGATTTTCTTATAAGCACAACTTACCAAACTAAGGCTAAATATGTAATGCAACAATATTTGGCATGCTAATGAACATTGGATTCTTGACATTACCATTTTACAAGTTAAGAGCTTGCATGAAATCTCAAATTAGTAAGGATAATTTGTATTCAAAACATTGAACGGAATTATGGGAATATGTTGGTCTCTTCCCCTTCGGAGTTGAGGCTTATGAGCACTAATTTACCTAATCCTTTAAACTAACACTAATGAACTTATTTACCTAATCCTCTATACTTTCAGTTCCATTCTCAGTTTTGATGCCTTGCCCGCCCCACTTCCGGACGCGCGTTGATGCTTGCTCCACCTGCGATTTGGTTTTGATATGAACAAACAATGAAATGCAAAAACCGAAGTAGAAGTTTTGAAACAAACTATTCATTACCTCTTTGTTCCAGTTGGTTTTGTAAAGTATAATTAGCAGAAGTAGGGTTTGAAGAACAGTTCCACATATCATGCCCACCCAGAATCCCTGCAACATGCGTCGCATAACTCATCACAAACACTTGATATATATAGGCTTGTTGAAAGAAAAAAAAACCATTTAATTACCATGACTCCCCAGTTTGCAACATGGCAAAGAAGGTATCCAAAAGGAAGTCCAAAAATGTAGTAACAACTAAAGTTTATGTAGGCACCCATTGTTTGCCATCCACCTCCAATTGCAACACCTTCAAGAACAAGCAAGTCGACATGGGATTAAAATATGCTCGCGTGCGCACGTACAAATACACATCTATTATAGATTTGATGTGCATGTTCGATTTTTGTTATTATGTATATATATGACATGCATAACGCCACTGACGTAAAATTGATACCTGATATTACTAGTTGGACACTGTTGAGCACCATAGTTATACCGAGAAGGTATGCCAACTTAGAAACCGCTTGTTGCAACTCCTTGTCACTTGTGAAAATCATGGCGACGTCATCTTTAGTTATCAAAATGATAGTCATGAAAAGAATTCCAATTAGGAGAGACTGAAATACTGTCACATAAATAGAGTATTTTGTTGCCCTAGGACGTCCTGACCCAAGCTCATTGGAGACACGAACACTGCATAAAAAAATAAAGATATTATAAACACTACAATAATCAATGAGAAGTGCAAAATAAATATCAGAGAACTACTAGTCTAATGCATTACCTTATTGCAATATAGATTCCAACAAACAACATAGCCTCCCACCCGTTGATGTTCATGCTGTGGAGACACAAAAGAGAAAGAATGCTATTAGAAATCAAAATCTATCATGTAACATAAAAAGGATAACTTACCTGCCATATATGAGCATTGTCACGTATATTAACTTTTACACACAACAGTGCATTATTACCAGGTAAGTAACATCTATTTATAAAAGGGATATTACTTACCAAATAGAAAGGGAACCAAGAGCTATAACTGCGTTAGGAAGACGGCCTGTGAGAATGAGTATACTCATCATGTACCAAATCTCAAGGCAGAGCATGGCCGCAGAGGCAAGAGAAAGTCTCACAAACGCCCATATCTCATTCAATGCCATCCATGAAAATCCAGTCCAACCCTCTTTGCACCAACCCATAATATACACAACCTGTGCAATTGCAATCCCCCATCTTGTGATGTTAAATGACACAGCTGCCCCCAATGTGCCCCAATTAAACACATACATGAAGAGCGCTAGCATTCCAATGTGTATGACTAGGGCCAACATTGCAATCCATGCCAGCATCTTCACCTTCCTCTGAGCCTGGAGGAACTTCTGAGCTGGGAAATTTATGGCAAGTGAGAACAATTGGGGGACTATTTGGAGTGTGAATTTTCCTGCTAGATTCGCTATGTCGTCTTCTTGGCCTAGCAACTTTAAAATTGGCTCGGCGAAGATGTAAATCGGCAAAATGAGGAGGGTGGTTACAAATAGGATTATCCAGGATCGTTGCAGATAAATCCCAAGCATATGAACTTGTCCAGCGCCAAATGCCTGTCCACACAAGGTCTCTAGAGCACTCGCCATCCCAAGCTAAAAGTTCATTTCGTACAAAAAAGATTTTGTATTTAACCATTGATAATTTGGCAATATATGACATATACTGTGTAGGGTTATTAGGACAATTTCAATAATATCACATATATACAGTATAGTACTAATTTCGTTGTTAGATTTTCGGCATTGGGACATTTCAATGCGTCAATATTTTCTTGCCAAATATACAGTATAGTACTATCTTGACGTATATAAATTTGTACCATAAGTTTCAACATAAATCTACCTAATTATTAGGGCAATAGTTCTACGAAAACTTAACAACATAACATTTGCGTGCATGAGAGAAGAGGAATTACGGGGAACAAGATTAAATACCATCAGTCCATCAGTGAATGTGGAAATCACGGCTAAAGAAATAGAGATAGCGGAGAGCTGGATAGTTCCTAGATGACCGGCAAAGAGCAGGATGACTGCGTTAGTCCCGTACATACATATGATGGTGATCACTGCCGAACCGGCTATTTGCCACAACTTCACCGTCTCTATCCAAAACATACTTCGGAGCGCATCAAAGCTCTTCACCGGCGCATAGTCTTCGTTCCCGCCTTCATAAAGAGGAGGTTTATTGCTCAACTCAGTAGCGCCGGCAGCAGCTGTGTGAAGCGGCGGCTCCTGCTCCTCCATTAGGTTAAGTGTAAGATTTAAGTTTGAGAATTTTCGCTTTGTTCAGAAGTCACGCACACATGGTCTTAAATATATAGAGATTTGGAAATTCTGAAATCTACTTCAACTGTATTAATCTGATTGTATTATTAATACAAGAATCTCTATAATATATCTTATTGGTACAAAATAAGCAAGTAATCCGTGATTCTCGCCCTTATTAAGGTTGATTAAAGGCTAACGAGGGAAAGTATCGTAGAACAATCGTTGGTTTTCTCAACGCATGGACCACGGATTCATGAACGAACTATTAATTAACCTAATTTATATAAACATATATGTACATATTGTGGAAATTATACAACTTAGATTTCATTGATGGCAAAAGTGAAAATATATACACGTTTGACTTGGTGTACAAGTGTTTTAACGAAACACTTCTGGTACTGTTCACTTTTAACGAAAATGATATTTTTACTCTAAAAAGTCATTCATCGTACTATTCACTCACAACACTTTTTTGTCATTTTGATTAAAACTCAAAGTTTTCAAGTATTTTTCATTAGTTTTTCTATATTTTAAAACACTAAAAAGTCGACCGTGTAGTAACAGAGGTAAGTTAGGAAGGAAAGATCTTGAGGTAACAATACCGTTTTTATGATTTATGCTTATTTGTAATTATGGAGAAGTTTGTTGGTGTTGACTGTCACTCTGTATGTGGTATCAGTATTCACTCATCTTACACGTTTTTTTTTTTTTAATTTTTTGAAACCGCGACGGTACGGAAGAGATTTTATTGATAACTCTTCTTACACATGTGATTTGTTAATATGACGTCCTATGTCTATAATATATGGCACTCCAAAATTTCTCGTAATTTTTCTAATGAGTAGGAATAAGTAGCATAAAGACTAGATGCAACACCTAGGCATGATAACCTTTTAACCAATTAAGGGCGTACATAAAACTTAAAGCAGAAAGGATAACATAAACAAAACATATACACACACTACCAAAAAAAAAAAAAAAAAAAAAAACCCTTTGCAGGACGAAGTAATTTTATCAAGCAAAAGTAGTCACTCAAAGGTTTATTGTTGAAAATTAAAAACCGTCAGACAATGATATTTTGCTCAATAAAAATTTCGATGACCATTTTGTTGTGCAAAATTGCTTTGACCAACTACGCTCGACAAACAACACATGCAACCCCGACAAATACCCACCTCCTTCACCCCACACCCCGTCGCGGGCGGAATCACCTCTAATTCTTGCCGCCGACTAAACCTTCCTCTTTCACATGTTTTCTCCTCATCAAAATAGTTGCATCATTAAATGGAGCAAAGACTTTAATATACCCCATAAAAAGAAAAGGGAATTTCAAGTACTTTCAGCTCCATTCACAGTTCTAATATCTTTCCCTCCCCACTTCCGGACACGATTTGTTGCTTGCTCCACCTGCAATTTGAACAGAGGAAACAAAATTACAAGTAAAACCTTGCTTCTTTTTACATGATTTACCATGACTCCCAAATTTGCAACATGGCAAAGAACGCATCCAAGAGGAAGTTTAAAAAGGTAGTAGCAACCTAAGTTTATATAAGCTACCATTCCCTGCCATCCACCTCCAATTGCAACACCTTGAAGAACAAAAAACATGGCATCATATTATGCTTGCGCAATCACACACAACATAGATTTTGGGCACACAACGTTTGCTCTTTGTTATATATATTAATTATAACATGCAAACACATAGTGACTTGTTAAATAGATACCTGATATTATTGGTTGGACACTATTGAGCACCGTAGTTATACCAAGAAGATATGCAAGCTTAGCGACCGCTTGTTGCAGCTCCTTGTCACTTGTGAAAAGTAAGGTAATATCATCTTTGGTTATTAAAATAATAATCATGAAAAGAATCCCAATTAAGAGATATTAAAATACTGTCACGTAAACAATGTATTTGGTTGTTCTAGGGTGTCTTGATCCAAACTCATTATAAACACGAACACTACATAAGAAAATAAAGATGTTATAAACAATCCAAAATAGTAAGAGAGAATTGCATACCAGAGAACTGCTAATCCAATGTTTCACCCTATTGCAACATTTAATCCAACGAACAACATTCCTTCCCACCCGTTGATGTTCATGCTAAGGAAACCCAAAAGGGAGGAAAATGCTATTAGAAATCAAAAGCTCATGGACCATGAAAAAGGGAACTTACTTACATTGGATACATCATTGTAGCGGTATTAATTCCAAACTAATAACTCATTGTCATATGTTTAAATTTTTCTTCACCATATTATATTATTGACTTAGAATACTATCAGAGTAACGTTTCCGGTGTGTCATAGGAAGGGTAATGGGGGCAAAAACTAAGATGGTTAATTAAATGCCCAAATCTCATTGAATGCAAGCCATGAAAATCCAGTCCAACCCATAATATACACAACCTGTGCAATTGCAATCCCCCATCTTGTGATGTAAAAAGGTACAGCTGCCCCTAATGCGCCCCAATCAAACACATACATGAAGAGCGCTAGCATTCCATTGTGCATGGCCAGGGCCAAGACTGCAATCCATGCCAGCACCTTCACCTTCATCTGAGCCTGGAGGAACTTCTGAGCTGGGAAAGTTAAGGAAAGTGAGAATAATTGGGGGATTATTTGGAGGGTATACTTTCCGGCTTCAATCACTATGTCGTCTTCTTGGCCTAGCCACCTCAGAATCGGTGTAGCGAAGATGTAAATCGGCAAGGGTAAGAAGCAGGTTACGAATAAGATTATCCATGAGCGTTGCATGTAGATCCCAAGCATGGGAATTTGTCCAGCACCAAATGCTTGTCCACACAGGGTCTCCAAAGCACTCCCCATCAAGCTAGAAAATCATTACACATTGAACAAAAAAGATTTTGTATTCAGTATATTAACAATATGACAATATAACATATCTATGATATACTATTGAGACTTTAGATTTAGTATTACTTTCATTCTTAGTTATGTCGTATTGGGGACATTTCAAGTACATCAATGTTCTCTTGCCAGATATATGTAGTGCACTACTATTTTGACGTATAACATATGTTTCAATAAAAATGTACCCCAATTACAATAATAGTTATGATGAACGGTCTAATAGCATACTGTGCTTATTTAAGATAAGAAGAATTAAGGGAAAGAAGATTAAGTACCATGAATCCATAAGTGAAGGTGGAAATGACGGCTAGAGAAATGGAGATGGCAGAGAGCTCAACAGTTTCGAGATGTCCGGCAAAGAGCAGGATGACTGCGTTAGTCCCATACACATGATAGTGATAACTGTCGAACCTCCTATTTACCACATCTTCACCGTCTCTATCCAAAAAATACGCCGGAGCGCATCAAAGCTCCTCACGGGCGCGTAGTCTTCAGTCTCACCTTCGTACATAGGATGCTTACTGCTCAACTCGGCAGCGCTGCCGGCAGCTGTGTCGAGCAGCGGCTCCTCCATTTAGTTAGGCGTCAGATCTTAAGTTTGAGAGTTTGGTTCCTATTTGTATATGTGGTTTACAGTAGCTTTTCTTTATTGCTCCTCTCCCCAGGGTGTTCACAGTCGCACAAACATGCGTTATCGATCATGATCGAATTGCTGACTTATATAATGTATAAAATACAGTGTTGTAAACTTGGGGCTCACGTGATGACTTTAGATTGCCACATACTATCAGAAGAATTTAAGAAAGACATCACATCATGCGTTGGTAGGTTTTGGCGGACTGGGATCACCTCCGGATCCCAGGTGGAGCAAACTGAGCAAAACATCTCGTCCTTTCATTTTTCATCCTGTTGCCAGAAATAAATTTAAATATTGAAAATTCTCACGCAAAACAAGGCAGATGAAAAATGGAAGTATGGGATGTTTTGCTCAGTTTACTCCGCAGGATGATCTCAGTCCGGTTTTGGCCTTCTAACTTTTATATTTTATATTACTGGCAACTAGGAAAGGGGTTGAATGAAGAAATGCTAGTTGGTCATTAGCCTATAAAAACGTGAGCAGCAAGCGTTCCAGTGATAGAGGAAAAATATCAGTGAGCTATGCCAAGATCAAAGAGGCGAGAGAAAAATAATTGAAAGTTACTTTTGTACTCCTATTATTTCAAATAATAAAAGAAACTATTGTTGTTGATCCGAGAATGTAGGCACACTTACTAAACTCATAAATATAATGTCTTATTTATTTTATATATCACTACACGTATATTGTATATTTCACAACACGTAGAAGAATTTTAACTAATCTTAAAATTAATTATATTTGAATCTAGCTAGTATTTCAATTTTCCGGTCTCACGTCGAGTGAATTAATGCGATGCCAACTACCTATTTGGTCACTCTATAATTTAACCTCTTGATGTGAATCGTTCATATTATAAAGTCTTCAATCAAATGTCATCCATTCAATATCTTTTGTTAAACTAAGCCATAGCCTACCGTGGCGTACTTTCATGGAATATGATATTAACGGGCAGGAAAAATCTGAAGATGGAAAGACATGCAAGCAAATGAAAGCAAAGTCGATAATATCATAGTAGTGCGGAACAAAGAGAGTGAAGTCAAAAGCAAGGGTCATGAGGCCGGAGGCAGAAGGAAGAGGAATCCTTCACGCCTGTTTGGTGAGCTGGTTGGTATAAAGTTGTGACCAAGTAAAATATACTTGATTCAAGTTCGTTGTTTGTTATGTTAAAATGTAAGATACACAAAACTAAACATGATGAGTTATGAATCCGTAATAGAGTGAGTCATTTAACCTGTCCATGTACACGGGCTACAAGTCTCAGTCGTATCCAACCCACCAAACAATCCCTTTAGGCCTAAACAAGCGGTCCCAACCCATGCATGAGATCGTCTGCTAGGTTGGAATTTACTGTTTGATTTTAATTATGTTTTATGGATCTCATTATCCATTATCTTATACAAAAACCAAGTTTTATCCTCTTAAGTGAGATCGGCTTGATCCATTATATTTTACATGAAATAAATTCTGCTTGAGCCATTTTCATGAAACCATTCATACCCACGTCCATGCAATGTTGCAGGTGAGAGTAATCAAACTCAAAATCTCGGGTGCAGAGGAACTTAGTCTTAACCATTTAAGTTTTGAGCTAGAAACTTTGAAACTAATCTTAGTGTATATGCCATGTAATTATGTCAATTACTTATCTCGCATTAACACATATAATGTGAAACGTGTAAGAAGATTAATTGTTTCGTATTAAGTAAAGAAGCAACAAATTACACAATCTCAGCCTAATTACACAATATAGGCCTCGTAACACAACCATCACCCTCTTAGTCAATCAAGTCCTAATTACATAGCTTACTCATAATCACATAACCAAAGCTTAATTACAGACTAAAGAACTTGAGGCAGGTCATTGTGGTAACCAATTGGCCCAGACAAAGGAAATGATGCTCGTTTTCTTGCCTCAGTATACGGCCCATAAAATGTTGGGCCATAACTCGTCCGGCAAAATACGATGGTTGTTTTCTGGGCTCTTTAAGTCAGCCAGGGTCCATGGACCATAAAATTTGGTGCCATGACTCATTGGCCCATTTCATGTTAGCAGCAGTCGATCTTCACTTTGTTGAACGAGACCTCATCCACAGATTCAGAGACGATATATATTTGTAATGAAATCGAAGCTAAATTGTGGCATATTGTAGTTTTTTTGCGGTATTTTAACAACCCGGTGTAAAAATGGTTTGTTAAATAGAACAATTCCAAATTTAAAAAGAAAATTAGGAAGAAAAAAAAAATAATAAAAATGATTTGAATATTTTGAGTTTTAACGATAATGACAAAATAAATGGTAAAATAAATAGTACCATATTTGACTTTTTAATGTAAAAATGTAATTTTTTTGTTAAAATAAACAGTACCGTTTTCTTTTCGTTAAAACTTCCAAAAAAAAAAAAAAAAAAAAAAAAAAAAAAAAAAACACTAAACAGAAATGGCTTGCGAATTACATTTAACAGGGGATCTTTACTAGCGAGTGACCCATCATTTCCAATGAGTGTAGCTGACGTGGTACGTGCACTGACGAGGTAGCTTAAAGTGCAAATAAGTGGAGGACACGTGGTTAGAAGCGAATCTAACCCATGAATCGAACGGTTCTGATTCGATCTCACCTGGGAAAAGATGAGATCAATTCTCGTTGCCGCATGCAGATATGATTGTTGCTGCAGTTTGCGTGTCGTGATCCACTCTTTCTGTTCGCTCAGTTCCTCACCTGCTATAGCCGGAAAGAGATCATCTACTGATCTTTTCTACTAAAATCATCGAATCAAGAAATCAGAATATTTAAAATTTGATTTAACGTTTAAAGTTATTATAACTTTTAAAGGGATCTCTGTTTTTAGCCGTTTAATCAAATTTCAAGGACTAAAATCACTTGATCCAATGATCTTAATGAAAGAGATCTAAAGATGATCTTTTTCTGTCATTGCATGGCCTTGATTAATACAATAATTACCACAACATTAACATAGAATGACATTTTAGATTGTTATAAATTTACGTCCATGAGATTGGAACACGGTGTAAGGGGGCTAATACATTGCTATGTCTAACATGGCGTACTCTAAATGCAAAATATTGTTATTTTGAAAAGCATCAAAATGTTGATAACCTTCAATTAATAGCTATTTTACAGAACGAAAAAATAAAATTAATACCATACAATTTTGATTAAGTACATGTGTGAGTCATAGGGGGCGAGCCTTGGTGTAACGCACTTGTTGTTCCTTTGTGATCCAAAAGGTTACGAGTTTGAGTTATGAAAATAGTATATTTGCAAAGCCAATGTATGACTGCGTACGAAAGACATTATCCTCCCTCATTCCTCACAAAGCGAAGACCCTTATGAGCTTAGGATCGCCCTTTTTACACTTGAGTTATAGAATTTGTTTATGTAGCAGCTCCTAATTTTGTAAAAAAATTAAAAATTAAAACGTAGCTTTCCATTGCACATGACTCATTTCAAAATAAGAAAAAGATTGCTAGTGATTGAACGGAAATACTTAATTACAATGAACAATGTAATTAATCACAACACATATGTAATGATGCGGTTTATGAGACGCACGGGTTAAGCAAGCTGCTGCAAATAGCTTTGTGTTTCATGAGTTATTTAGGCAAACAAAGTTTAACCCGCTCTTGCACGGTAGACGGCATGCCTTGAAAACTCGGTTTTGACGAGAAATTACATGCGTTCAAATGACAATACCTCGAAAACAATATCACGATGTCAATGAGCAAGTTATACGACGCGAAGGTGCTTGATAAATGTAGAATATCAACAGCTAGACGTACTGATTGCATTAAAGTTTATTTCCCTCCTATCGTTTTGGTGTCTCCGAGACAGTCACCTCCTATTCAGTCATCGCTTTCCGGCCACCGCAAGGCTTTAAAGACGTGCCAATGAAACTCATAACGGCAAAATCTGAAATGGGTGACCTAGCGACAGCTATATATAATACCAAAGAAAATAAATATATTAAAGGAACCAAATAGTTTTCGCATTTGGCCATAATCATCAACTAATTTTATGGAAACTACTATGATGTGACTCAGTAATTGGGGATGAATTTCAGGCTCGTATTTCATACGACACGTTTCGGGTCCGATGGTAGATAAGGGGAGACTGAAATGCCTCTATAAGACTTTCTGAGCTCCGAAAAGATGAATTGCTTAGCAAAGCCACCAAGTAGTCCCCTTTGAAGTAGTGCATCAACTAATTTTATGGATATTGTCTTTTATTTTTTTTTAACAAACGATATTAACTACACTAGAGAGAAGGGGGTGGGCTTAGACACACAATGGATTAGCAATGGTACGATTCAAATTCCTCTTTGGCAATAATCGAACTTATGATCTCTCACTACCACTAGATCATAATATTATGTAGTAAACGATATTATCCACGCTTTATATAATTGTTAAGTGCACAATTTATAATTGTTAAGTGCACAATTAAAGCGTTGATCAAATTGATTCAACATAATAAAAATCAAAATTGTAATTTGCAACGACCAAGCATTCACAACCAAAATCCTCGTGAGCACACAATAACGCGTGGTCCGTCGAAATGGACTGACTGGTTCACAGGTTTGGGGGTTTTTTCTTTTTGGTGTTGAAAATGTGATGAGCAATAGCTATTTTATATTTGATGTGGTCCTGAGTCTTGATGATATGACATTGGACGAATATATAAAATACATTTAATTTCTCCAATTAAATAATAGACCGTTATTTAGTTTTGCGTTATTCCTCTTAGGATGTTCTATTCACATATCTTTTTTTACTTCTCACACATCCTTGTTAATTTTTATCCGTTGATCTTCTTCAATTCATTTGATCCGACAGTCGAAAACCAAAAAAATGTGAGAAAAGTAAAAAGGGGTATGTGGATATCACACCCCTTCCTCTTAACTTTTATGTGAGAGGTTTTAGGTTGAATTATTGTCAAAGGAGAATTTAAACCATATTATTATAAGCTCATTATAAGGTTTAACACTCTCCCACTCTTTAATAGCTATAATATCGTTTGTTAATAAAAATAATGGATCAAATTTAATTCGTTTTTATTACATAATATTTAGTGCGAAAGTTGCCCAAGTGCTTGGGCTTACGGCAAAAAATCGTCCCTGGTGGAGGGGTTGAAGAAGGGAAGAAATGTTCAACCAACCTAGAAGGCTAGATGCTACGTTAAAATTGAGCATGAGATTTGAATGAGCAACCTACATAGTGCTGGTAAATCGTGATCATGAAATCTCATACTAATGATACAAATACATGTATAAGTTTCTCTTTGCATATTCTTTTAATATTGACACTGAACACCACAATAGTGTTATACTCATTATC